CACATTCTGATGCCCATAAGAGATGGATCCAGTACATACATATGTTTGATTTCTCTCTGTAGCACTTGGATGGAAAGTCTAATGAGGTTGCAGAAGCATTGTCTAGGAGAGAAGATTTCCTTGGAGCGCTAGTGACTGAGTTTGGCTTAGATGGGACTGTACGTCAACAGTTGGTGGATGCTTACAAAGAAGACAGTATTTAGAAGGTGATCAGTGGATGATTCCTCTCGCAAGATAAGACGGTGACTGAGGACTCTCTGATGGTTGATGAATTGCTCTTTTTGAGTAAGAATGGGCAGAATAGATTGTGTGTCCCAAGTAGAGAGTCTTTGCGAAGTGTTCACAGGAGAATGCCATGATGCCACTGGTCATTTTGGGTTTAAAAAGACCTATGCTAGTCTTTTGCAGTGGTTTTGGTGGCCTTCAATGCTAGAAGATGCCAAGGAATATGTAGAGTCACGCCAGGTTTGCCAACGCGGCAAACCTAGGACTCAGGCACCTCCAGGCTTATTGAAGCCTGTGCCGATTCCATCTCGCGCAGGAGACTTGCTGTCCATGGACTTCATGGACACTTTGGTAAACAGCCAAAATGGAAAAAACAGGCAGACATTTGTGATTGTAGATAGATTTTCGAAGAATGCTAGACTAATACAGCTACCTGCAACAGCCCAAGCAGATTTGGTGATTAGTAAGTTCTCAGATCACTGGGTGAATGACTTTGGACTGCCTAAGACCATAGTGAGTGATAGAGATGTGCGCTTTACAAGTGAAATGTGGCAGAAGGCTGCACAACAGATCGGATCTGAACTGCAGATGACATCTGGGAATCATCCGAAGACCAATGGTCAAGCTGCGCAGATGAACCATGTAGTCCAGCAGCTACTTAGGCACTATATCAAGCCCAATCAGATTGTCTGGGATGAAAAACTGCCTCTGGTAGCTACCGTCTTCACCCAAATAGAATGCCCGGTCATTCTCGCTGTATTAGACTGAAAGTTGGCCCAAATACAGCTATAATGACCGGGCATTCTATTCGGGTGAAAACGGTAGCCTACATAATAATGCTATACATAGTACTACAGCAAGGACTCCCAATCAGCTGCATCTAGGATGGACACCCAGAACACTGTCTGATTTCTTACTGCCTGAATCTAAGCCTACTGCAGCTCCCGGTAGCATAGAGTTCGGTATACAATATGAAGCCATACTATAGGAAACAGTAGAACAGATTCAGAAAGCTCAGCAAGCAATGACTGAGAAAAGACACAGACAGCCATCTAAATTTAGGTAGGTGAAAGAGCATGGGCGAAGTCTTCTGAGTTCACACAGGAACAGGATGTGTGTAGACAACTGATGCCGTCTCAGTATTTCGGACCATGGCCAGTACTGGATATTGTAGGATCAGATCCATACATCATCGCTGTTCCCCCGCATTTGCACGCATACCCTGTCTTTCACACCTCCAAACTCCTTCCTTTTTCAGGAACTGACAACTTTCTTTCCAGGCGATCAATGCAGCCCCCAACTACAAATGGTTATGTGGATATCGATCAGATTGTTGAGCACAAGGTGATGGCAGTGCCAAGACGAGCACGCAGAGGAAGACCTACCAAGCCACAAATGCAGTACAGGGTGGCCTTCAGACATCACCTTGATCCTAAGGAAGACAGATGGTTCAAAGAGACGAGCTGATGAAGACTGCCCCTGGAGTTGTCTCCACTCACGAACGGAAGTTAAAAGGGAAGCAGAGAGAAGATTGAGAATGCTCAGAGGACTTTCAATTTGAGGGGGTGGGAATGCGAGGAAACCGCGCCTCAGCAAGGCTGAAAAGGGCTCACGCCCCCCCACAGTGAAGGCGGACCCTCATCAATTTCGGTCTGGCCTTTTTCAGGCCGGTGTGACCAGTTTGCTGCCCAGGGCTCCTGTTGGATGAATGCACCATCCAACTAACTCTTAGGCCCAGCCCACGAGTTAGTTGGATGGCTGGGCCCCAGTACCTTCCAGAAGAGCCTGGACGAGGGAAACTGGGACAAGGGCACAGACTGGCCAGGGCCTGCGGAAAGAGCTCTCTACATTGCACAAAAGACAAAGGCCGCTGGGGAAAGCGACATACGTGCCTTGGAGCATGCGGCTGCGCTGCGCAAGCGGGTGCTGGCTGGCTGCTTGGGCACGTGGGAGAAGCTGCGCCGTGGCAGTGAGATAGGGAGAGTGGCAGCCATAGCCGGGCTGGTCGCTTGTTACATTCTGCGATTCCGCACGGGGCTTCACAAGCCCGACATACCAGTTCAGGGGGTACCCAGGCTGGCCTCCAAGGCCAGGCCTTTTTCTCCCGGTAGGCCCTGTTAGGCCACCGGTTGGGGCCTCAGCACCTAGCAGACCACGGTTGGCCCAAACGACATGACCGTTTGGGCCTGGCGGCGCTCTTGAGGCTGCCGCCCGCTGGTCTGCGCTGAACGGTCATTTCGACGGTTCAGCCCACGGCGCAGGAGGCCAGCATTGAGGCCGACCGGGCGCCAGACGGTACTTAGGCCGGTCCAGCGGCCATTCCTGGAGGAGGGAGTAGCGGCATAGAGGAGCGACCGCGCTGCGCTATTCTGAGTTCAGCGCAGCGCTGGAACTGCAGCGCTAAGTTTAGCGCACTGCAGTAGAGCGAGGAGGGAGGACTTACCTGACCAGCAGCTACGAGCGCCATCGCTCCCAGCCGTCTTCTGCAGCAGCCAAGGCGCAACCTTGTCCCATCAGGTAGGGCCTGGCGCTACTCGCCATCTCCGTCCATGCTCTGCCATCTCTTCTCCTTCTCCTTCTTCTTCTCCTTATTCCTCTTCTTCTTCTTCAGACTTCTTCTTCAACCTTCTTCTTCTTCTTCTTCTTCTTCTTCTTCTTCGTCGTCGTCAGACTGGAGACTTTGATACGAGTTGGACAGAGATCAGTGTTTGGACTTCGGTGGTAAGAGGCTGTGATACTTACCGGATTCGAGACCTTGGAGATGTTTGGGATTGATACTCGGCGGCATCACAGATTGGACACTGGTTACGTTAGGACTCTGTACCTCCGACATTGGTGACTTATTGTCCACAATATTGTGATCTTGTTCGATGACATTTTGGACTACCATATCGGTGACCTACTGGATTCTATCTCGGTGACATCTGGCGCTGCCTATACCTCCCACCTCCATCGTCTCTCCTCCCACCTTTCATCTGTGTATGGTTGTACGGGGCCTGAGCATCGTCTATGATTGGCTTCAGACCTCACCATCTCACGATTGCTTGTATGGTGAGTGATATCTGGATGGGTTCAGTCTATGTGAGCCAGTCCATTTCTCAGACTTCCGCTGCATACATGCTCATCATATATTGGTTGATCTTTGGTTCTGCCCATACTTGGTGAAGTATTCACTAGTATGCAACACCGCTCCAGCTCTAAGTGGCGATGCAGCAGAGGTCCTCGGGGAACGCGGACCGTGGTATCAGCAATGGGAAGGATGAGTGGTGTGGCAAGGCTTACCTGGTGCTGAGTTGGCATTCACTCGCGGTCTTCATTCATTACCAGGCTGAAGATTTTCATGATTGACTTGTAGTGGGTGTAGGAGTCTACGGTGATAGGAGCATCTGTCAGTAGGGTGGCGCTGAGCGCCAGATAGGTGGACTACATTGCTGTACTTCGGTGATTGGAGCCGAGGACGGGCTTTCATTATCATGGAACTTCGATGCTTTGCTATATCTCATCTGGTGTGATATCGCTTGCAATCTGTTTTCAGTTTTGGTTCTAGTTATCTGGACTTTCATGAATGTTGCTACCTGGTTCATTGTCTTTCACATTGCTTATTTGAAGTTATTTCCTTGCAATGTGGACTTTAAGAATCTGGAATTTAGGTGATGAATTATCCTAAAGATTACGATGATGAAAGTAACTAAGACTTTTATCTGAAACCAATTACGAACAACAGAACGAGGAATCTGAAACCAATTACGAACAACAGAATGAGGAACTAAACATCGAGAACACAAACTATTGATGCCTCACACTCCCAAAAAAATCGGTATCAAGGAACATCACACTTGATAGGAGATCTTCACTATATGCTAGCTGAGCAAAATCCGGAGATCTCAAAGTGAACCGCCATCGCCCAAAACCAGCACAAATCGATCATTGTTGTTGTATTGATTGTTAGGAGGTGAGAAGATGGCGTTTCATCACCAAGAGACTTCAACTTTGTGAATTCTTGTTCTGGTGTGAAAGAGTTTGTCCGCTGCGGTTTCCTCGCATAACTACCACTGTATATGATAATTGTGTTCAACAATGGGATAGAGAAGTGATAGTTTCCAGTTGTTCTAACTTGTTTACCAATTTTTAATTGTTTTAGTCTATCGTGTCGAAATTTTCCCAAAACATTGTGGTGTACCAGCCTGTATTCACATTGGCTCGCCATCCATTGGGGAGCAGGCAGTTGTAAATGTTGTCGTTTTCTGTCGTTGTGTTGAAACCTTATGTGTAAGCTTCGGAAATCCCAACAGCGATCAGAGACTCAAGAAGTGGCTAAAGGACTTGTAAAATTCTTGTTTGATCTTCTATGTATCTAATCTTCAAATCTCTGAGACCATTTTGCTGTGTCACTTGGCATACTCACACGGGGACCTGAAGTTCCAAATATTTGGGACGTTTGGTACCATGTATTTGCTCCTTTGGGTGCCCGTGTGGTCACACCCACGTTCTCTGTCCCCAAAGGACACAATCGCAGCCCTGACATTTGCACCTCCCAGGAAGTGCACATAGTCACACTGCTTACCCCAAAAAATATAGAGGTTTTTTTTCCTTTCTTTCAATGCTGAACTAACACTCACGGCTGATTTCCTCATGCACGAATTTCTTGAAATATCTCAGGGAGAAAGAAAAAATCGAAAAGGTAATTTGAGACCCGCAAGCTGCTGACAAAAAGGGTCACCAAAAAGTACATTTGGGTAGCGGCCCTCTCCAATGTGACCCGAAAACTGCCTCAAATTTTGGGATTTCAGGTCATGAGGTCCCCGTGTGAGTATGCCCTGAGTGAATTACCTTCTCACACCCACTTGTTCTACTTACCTGCATGTCATGGAACTACATGTACACAGGACAAGTGTGGAATTCCCCCGCGAGCAAAGCTGCTTTCGTGTGAAGCAGTATAATTGAACACAACAAAAAACTGGTGCAAAAAGAACAGCCCTCAGCCTTTGAACCATGACACACCACAACAGTTCTGGATAACAGGGTCATAAGGTCCTGAGCTCAAAGATTAAACCTTGGTAGGCCATATAAAACCAAAATCGCAGTCACTTCACAATGGCGCCTAACAGTTTGGTATGCAGTGCCCATCATTCCCAGAGCTGCAGCTGCGACACTATGTGGTCTTCGAACAACCTGCAGGAGACAACAGTAAGAAGAAAACCATCACCTTAAAAGACCAGACATTGCCAGATGATGGTCTTCTTTGGCCAGCTATGACGACCACAAAGAAAATACGGGATGAAACTTTTCATGTGGCCCACCTGGCCTACTACAAAAAAAAAGAAAAAAAGAGAATTTGGGATCAAACTTTTCATGCGGCCCACCTGGCCTGCTTCCTCGACAACAAAGTATTGCCACCCATTAACAACTTGGGAAGAGTGTGCTCTGTCTGTACCTCACTTATGGCATGCCGGCGCTGCACAGTGTCTGGTGTGAAGCATGCGGAGAATTAGAAAAGAAATCAGAAATTGAGGAAAAAAAAGGAAAATCAGTCTAGGTTAGCAGGGACACCAAGCCAGGCACCCATGCAGCTTGCCCGACCGTGCAGTCACCTGTGGTACTCAGAGGAAAAGCTCCAGGAATTCCCCTCCCCCCCCGGGTCTGTGGGCATTTCTGTGCCTCCTGAACGCAGCCCAAATCCAGGGTCTCTTTTGTTTTACAGTGTTCATTGAGTGGGGGAAAGGGGGGTATACATGGGGCTGAACGGGGTCTGAAGGGGGGTGCATTTGTATTAAATTTTTATTTTTTTCTTTATCTTCAAATGAAAAAGGAATTATGAGGTGACCCTCAGCCAAAAGTTTTTCCTACAATTTTTTCACTTTTTGTTACGGACTTCGCCAGGGCTCGATCCCTGGTCTATCTTTTGCTGTTTCGGCTGCATCCCGCTTTCGGCCTGGCACCCTTTTTCCAAACCCCTCCTTTGGTACCGTAGGATTTGGACAACTGGCGCCATGCTGCAATTCGGGCGCCACTTTCAAATACTGCATTTTTCAGTTCTGCCCTCGGGGCCTTTGCAGAAATGCCC